AGTGATGAAAAGCTGATGGCGGATATATCACTGTGGCTGATGGTCACATTTAACACTATTATTTGTTTGCTTGTTTGTTTATTTATTTAGAAAATTTATATAGCCTCCTATTCGCTCACAGTGAGTCTAGGCAGCTGACGAACAATAAAAACACAGTATAGAAAAAGAAAATAAAAAACAATAAAAATAAAAAACAATAACCCCCTTATATTTTTCCCAGAGGCCTTTTGTTTTTTAAATCATATTGTTAGCCAGATACCAATGATTCCTCATCCCAAACATCTCCATCAACAGGAAAAAAAACCCTTTTCCATTCTTTCTTAACTCCTTGATCTTGTTTCTTGTTTTTCATTCTTTCCAGAACAGTTAATAGTGGTGCTTCCAAATCCATCTCTAGATAAAACACAAAACCCCATATTTATGGGCCTTGAAAATAAGAACAGCTGCTTATCTTGTGTGAAGTCTGGGAATGGTCAATATCAGCTAGAGTTAAAANTTATCCTAGTGTTCCTACGTAACTTCTTTCCCATGGTCTCTCCCTTTTTTCCCTAGGAGAAAGATATTAAGGATCTTTATTTGGATCCAAAAAACGCCAAAGCTTTCACTTTTTATAGTAGGAGTGATGGCAACGCTGATACCTACTCCTTTGAATCTGCAGAGTTCCCAGGTTGGTTCCTCAGCACTTCTTCAGAAGCAAAAAAGCCTCTTGGTTTGAGTCAAAAAGGAGGACCTCAGAACGTCCTGTTTTATTTTGAAAGAAAACCATGAGCCAGAAATACTCTTCTGCATCTATGTTTCTAATAGACCTTGGATATACAAATTGGAATGGAGCCAGAATGCACAATTAGGGCAATGAGTAGACTTAGATAGTATTCTTCGTGCAATCAAAAAGTTTTGGGAGAACTATGTCATATTTTGGGGGAAGGTACAATACAGGTTCATGGATGATATGGACTTGATTGTATGGTCTTTATTTCTGTAGAACAATATTGTCAACATCCAGCTCGTGGATCCAAATAAAAATCCAGGTTCATTCCGTTTCCCAAACTCTTCTTGTTTATTGAATACACAGCATGGTGATGTTGAGGCAATACTAACTCTGAGGTTTCCAGACACCAGTTCATAGAATTAAACATAATTTCTCCAGCCCAACCCCCACCCTCTCACGTAGTTCGTGTAAACAATTTCACTTTGTTATGGGAACCGTCTGCTTCTTCTCCACACCTGCCACAGTGTCCTTGGAATGGTTTCAGGCTCTCGTGGTCTTCAGCGGAATCATAGAGGTTTCATTTCTCCATCTTAATCAGTTCTAAAGCAAAACCTCCCCCCTCCTTACTCTAATGGCAAGTTGAAACGAAGAGGCATGTAGCTGCTGAAGTTTCATTCTTGACAAATATGCTTTCGAACAGTAGGTTTGCACATGTGAATTAAATTGGTTGGCTGAGAGAAAGGAGAGTGATCTTTTGGTAATGAGTAGCAGTAGCAGTAGCACTTAGACATATATGATCTACTGCCCCATAGTGTTTTATAGCATTTTTAAGGTTGTTTACCGAGTCAGCATATTGTCCCCAAAAATCTGGTTCATCATTTTACTGACATCAGAAGGATGGAAGGCCGAGTCAAGCTTCAACCTGTCAGGATCGAACTCCTGGCTGTGGGCAGAGTTAGAGTACTTTAAGATGTTATTCCAGAGGTGTCCAAACTTGGCAAATTAAAAACCTGTGGACTTCTACTCCCAGAATTCCTCAGCCAATCAGCCAGACAAATCTTAAAGTTTGCAGGGCTGGGCACAACTGTGTTATCCCACACTGTTACAAGAATCAGTTCTCTCCACAACAATCTGGTTCATTGTTTAAGAAGAACAACTTGTGTTCTGCAATGAATGGCAGCTTTTGCCGAGGACACAGACTTTCACAATGGGAAAGAGTGCTTAGTAAATTGTATAATGAGAGATACAGTATATAGCAGCTTCGGATATTGCAAATGGATCCTTAGGAAGCTTAACTTACTTTAATAAGAGAACCCGTCACAGATGTTGCAGTACAAAGTGACAGGAAAGATAGGCTGTCAGTCTTGAGCAGTGAGCCCCAAATATGGCAATTGTCCAAGGGCAAAAAGAGCCCCTAATGCAGAGCCACTCCGTATTGGCAGGGTTCAGTTTTAGACTGATTCTCCCCCTCCAGACCTCAACTGCATTCCAGGCACTGGGAAAAGGCAAACCACAGCATTGCTTAACTCATGAAGGATGACCTCCCCCAGCAGTTTCATGTAGGTGTTAAACAGCAGCAGAGAAAGAAGCAAAGGCCACGGGTCAGATCTGCCTCTCCTAATCAGTATTGACTGAGAATGGCCTCAGAGGAAGAAATGCACGAGGACAACACAGTGCCCTCAGTCCCCGATCCAAGAAGCCATTCCAGAAGGATGTCATAACTGATGGAATAAAAAGCCACTGAGAGATCAAGTAGAGGGAGAATGGATGCACCACCCTCCCGTCTCATTGCCATCGTGTTAGTGCCATTAGGACTTTCCCCCATCCTATCCTCTCCTGCTCGATTCCCAAGTGGCCTCAACAGATCCCTGTAATCTTCCACTACTGGAGATGCGTTTGTGTGAAAGAAAGAGAAAACAAACCAGGCTTTGACGGAAAGATAGGTGTGGTTTGTTGATCTGGTTAGGTTGCACCCCACCCACTTTCTTTTCTCCAGGGTGAGAAGCAGGATCTGGGAAGGAGAAGGAGGAGGCTGTGGTTGGCTAACACATCTGAAAGAGACATGCCATCGATGGCTGCAGTGCCAGGAAAAATGGGCATGCCCAACATGTCTTGGCTAATTTGAATATCTAATTGCTAGATTGTCAGTGGAAGCATGAAAGGAGGGCAAGAATATTCTGCAGCATTTTCCATGAGTGTCATGAAACTTTAGCTTGGAGAAAACATGGCAGAATTTGTAGGATGATACTCGGACAGATATGAAGCATCACTTTCCTATTTGCATGGGAGATATTCTCCATTATGAATCTTGATAGGTTTTGCTCCAGTACACTTGAGGTGTTTGATTTATTAGGATAAGGACACACGGAAGCAGAAAGCAGGCAGAAAAAAAGAGTGATTTGCTAGTAACTGAAGTGAGAGGGAAAATTTAGGGACATTTATGAACAAGAAGATTAAGACGAAAATCTCATGCACAAATTGAAGTCCTCAAGAAAACAGATGTCAGGCCAATAAACTCAAAGTCAATGAATTAAAGAGTGCAGCTGGAAGACTTCTACTTATTTGTGGACCATTTTATTTTAGGTAATATCATGTTCAGTTCATATGGAACTTGCAGTGCCCCATGCTTTAGTCCTTTATTCATGTGTCAAGGAGAAACTTAATATTTTCCCTCAAATCACTCCTAAATATGGAAAATAATAATAATAAGATATGCTCCTTTGTGTCATATAATAATCTAAATAAGGCGTTGGTATGCAGGTATAACGTATAATTAAATAATTGCTTTCGGACCGAATGCTTTCATCATATTAATCAATCTAGACTAAGTTTCAATCCTATTTAAACCCTTCATGCAAATTAATGTTCAGATTTATTGTTTGTAACCAAACCATAGGAAAACCTTCTATGAAGGCTTTCTGTGCAAAATGAAAGATTGCTTCTGGACAATAAGAGCTAAACTGAATTATATCAAGCTGGTGGGGTGGGGGTGGGATTGTGACTCTTGACCCCTCCTGACCCCTCAAGGGACAAAAATGACCTCCATGACAGTTTGAAATGCAGTACAGCAGACCCTGAGTTGGTTACTCAACTCTTGTGAGTTATTTGAGCAGAACAGTTGTGTTGTCATGCATGAGCTGAGGCAATGTCAAGGTGTTAACCCTGATTAGAAGGCATCAGTCGTTGGACATAAGCACTACCTTAGAGATGGGGAGTTTTGGACAGCCAGATGTAGTGATAAATGATTTCTTACAGTAGTCAGGAGGGTGATTTCAAACTCATCAATGGGCATGTCTGTTAACACCCTCTGATAGATATAAAATCTTATGTCCGTTCCAGTGATGATCAAACAGAAGGAATCTTCAGCCCAAGAAGGAACATCTCCACAGGTATTGTCACCTGATTTATTGGGTTAGGTTACCTGCTCCTGGGACCAACTATCCATAGGGCAGAAGCCCTTTCATTTTCTGTCCAAGAGTCATTGATGTTTTGGTACTTTGGGACTAGATGATAGCAACTAGATTTCCTTTTAAGAAAATTACTTTGGAGAAGCCCTTGCGTTTACTGGTTTAACTATATTTAGCTTGCTTTTCTATTTAGCACTTTTTTGAAACATCTGTCGGGCTTGTTTGTATTTGTTCTGATTCCATTTTTCTTTCTTACAGTTCAATAGTTATTTTTTTTTTCATTAAAGCAGGGATGCAACATTAAAATCATGAATGAAGGCGAATATACATGTCTCAGGATAATGTTGCAGCAACCAAACCTGATTCGGTCACGGGGATTATAGGTTTTCTGAGTCATGCTTATATCTTAATACAATCTCATTCACTACTCTGAAACATTTGCTGGAAGCATACTATAAATAAAAAATAATGAGCAATAATTAATAATACTAGTTTGGATGGTGGTGATGTTTTTTTTTTGTCCTTTCACAAAAGGGGAATTTGTAGCACTAGATAATTTGGAATTTTGACGAAAATGTAGGTCCTTTTCGGTAGGCTTGGAATGCCATCAGGATGCTATACATTTCTCCTAAATTCCTATATGTTTCCATCTTGATCACCGATAGCTACCTTCTGTTCCCTAATCAGTGGAACGACTTGTCACCAGAAGTTGTGGATGCTCCAACACCGGATACATTACATTGCATTTGAGAAAATCAAGCAACCAATGTTGTTCAGAATGTCTTTGATATTTTCCATCTTTTGTTTGCTAGGATTTTTAATTTAAACTATTCCCTTCTTCTGAAGATCCTAGAGAAATCTGAAGAAGTAGAAAGGTTGGGGAGATGGCAAGTCATCCTCATAAAAAGACTTGGGATGAAGAAATAGCAGATCTATTTCATGATACTGAAGGAGGTGAGAAAGATGTTGTTCTCTTCATTTGCTGCTTTGGAATCATTGCCCCAGTCATGCACGTATCCTTAATTATTTGGCCATTGTAAAAATGAGCTTTATTTTTTCAATCCTACAAAAATACAATCTTCAGTTTTTTAAAGTCAAAACTTTCTTAGTGCTACTCTCTGGAGGAACCTACCCTATACCAGAACAAATGCAAAGTGTTGTGTACATAGCAATAGAGCTGTCCAGCAAATATTCATCTTATTCATTAGCTGATATATCAAGTAGATGCTCCATGGATTATAGCACTTGTGTACTCTAATCTTATTTTGCAGAAAGTTAATTTTAGACATGAGAATGGCCATATATTAAGCTTGTCCCTTTTCTGTGCTTTACAAAGTCTTCTATATCTTCCATTGACACTGCAAATTTGGTTTCTAACCCCCCCTCTCTCACACATACACATACTGTACACACACATACACCTCTCCATTAAAAGAAACTGTTTTAAAGCTTTCATTGATGGTGATCTTTTTAAAACTCCAATTACAGCACAAGGTTGCCCAGATCTACTACAGTGCCTCTCTCAAAAGACATTAATTGCATATAATCCTGTTTTTTCCTTTCAAAACTGAATTGCAGCATTTTGCTGGTTTATGATTGAATCAAATCCAGATTTGATTGGCTGATTGACTGAATATCAGCAAGGTGAACACAAAAGGAGAGGGAGGGAAGGAGAGAGAAATAAAAGGGAAAGAGGACAATGTGGAAGAAGAAAGATAGGAAAAAGGAAGAAGCAAGAACAGATTGAATTAATGGTGACTCTAGGCTATCATTGCTTTCATCTTGCCCATATTTGACATTAATTACATGTGGTCACATGACTGCCTGCTAACCATATTTTAGGGCCTTTTCCTCCTGTATAGCTAGAACTATCCAAAACTCGTCCACTTGTGACTCTCCACCCTGTTTCTTCCTGGGTCCTGTAGTATCATCTCAGTTGCTTTCATGTTTACATTCCATAAGGCTATATCCAAGGATTCTCCCCTGCCTCTTGGTATGATATCCACCAAGACCGAAAAGCTTTCGAGGGACACTGGTAGATCTGTGCAAACCACTTGAAGGAGGGGCAAATTATTTGTAATTCATTTTTCAGTGACATATATATCATTCTAATCTTCTCTGATTGTTGCTTCTTTAGAATGTTCTCTTTGTTTGCACATATAATAAGTATTTAATGCATATCCCTATTCCTTCCATAAATCCAGAAAGAAGCCACGTCAAAGAACCCGATCCTCGATTGTTTAAATTATGGGATATTAATCAGAAATACTTATTTTTGGTGAAGAACGTGTTAGTGGCAGATGTGAAATCTAAGTCTAATTTACCAGGTACAAACTAAACTTCTTATCTTGTGCTTGAAAATTGCAGCCCTTCTCTTCGTCAAAATTATTGATGGGATGAAAAGCTGATGGCAGATATATCAGGACTCACTGTGGCTGATGGTCACATTTAACACTGTTATTTATTTGTTTGTTTGCTTGTTTGTTTGTTTATTTATTTAGAAAATTTATATAGCCTCCTACTCGCTTGCAGTGAGTCTAGGCAGCTGATGAACAATAAAAACACAGTATAGAAAAAGAAAATAAAAAACAATAAAAATAAAAAACAATAACCCCCCTATATTTTTCCCAGAGGCCTTTTGTTTTTTAAATCATATTGTTAGCCAGATACCAATGATTCCTCATCCCAAACATCTCCATCAACAGAAAAAAAAACATTTTCCATTCTTTCTTAACTCCTTGATCTTGTTTCTTGTTTTTCATTCTTTCCAGAACAGTTAATGAAGGTGCTTCCTAATAGATCTCTAGATAAACCACGACAACCCTTATTTATGGGCCTTGAAAATAAGAACAGCTGCTTATCTTGTGTGAAGTCTGGGAATGGTCAATATCAGCTAGAGTTACAAGTGAGTGTTTGACTTGCATTACCAACATATTTTGCTTTCTCTAGGAAAATTGTCCTTTTTATTTATCCTTTTATTCTCAGTGATATATTACTTATAGTATATAAGGAAGACTTCTAGAAGCTTTAGCTAATGGCTACTTATTTAACCTGATTGGATAGAATCTCTTTCTGGACACTTAGACATTAAATAAACTTGATTGGCTGACCTGTGTTAATTTATAAAACTTTCTGTAAAAAGGGAAAACGTGAATTCCATCTCGATAGACTGTAGAAATCTTCTAAGGGGCTGCTAATGATGGTTTATGCAACTTGTAACCAGGTTATCCTAGTGTTCCTACGTAACTTCTTTCCCATGGTCTCTCCCTTTTTTCCCCTAGGAGAAAGATATTAGGGAACTTTATTTGGATCCAAAAAACGCCAAAGCTTTCACTTTTTATAGTAGGAGTGATGGCAACGTTGATACCTGCTCCTTTGAATCTGCAGAGTTCCCGGGTTGGTTCCTCAGCACTTCTTCAGAAGCAAAAAAGCCTCTTGGTTTGAGTCAAAAAGGAGGACCTCAGAACGTCCTGTTTTATTTTGAAAGAAAACCATGAGCCAGAAATACTCTTCTGCATCTATGTTTCTAATAGACCTTGGATATACAAATTGGAATGGAGCCAGAATGCACAATTAGGCCAATGAGTAGACTTAGATAGTATTCTTCGTGCAATCAAAAAGTTTTGGGAGAACTATGTCATATTTTGGGGGAAGGTACAATACAGGTTCATGGATGATATGGACTTGATTGTATGGTCTTTATTTCTGTAGAACAATATTGTCAACATCCAGCTTGTGGATCCAAATAAAAATCCAGGTTCATTCCGTTTCCCAAACTCTTCTTGTTTATTGAATACACAGCATGGTGATGTTGAGGCAATACTAACTCTGAGGTTTCCAGACACCAGTTCATAGAATTAAACATAATTTCTCCAGCCCAACCCCCACCCTCTCACGTAGTTCGTGTAAACAATTTCACTTTGTTATGGGAACCGTCTGCTTCTTCTCCACACCTGCCGCAGTGTCCTTGGAATGGTTTCAGGCTCTCGTGGTCTTCAGCGGAATCATAGAGGTTTCATTTCTCCATCTTAATCAATTCTAAAGCAAAACCTCCCCCCTCCTTACTCTAATGGCAAGTTGAAATGAAGAGGCACGTAGCTGCTGAAGTTTCATTCTTGACAAATATGCTTTCGAACAATAGGTTTGCACATGTGAATTAAATTGGTTGGCTGAGAGAAAGGAGAGTGATCTTTTGGTAATGAGTAGCAGTAGCAGTAGCAGTAGCAATAGCACTTAGACATATAATATCTACTGCCACATAGTGTTTTATAGCATTTTTAAGGTTGTTTACCGAGTCAGCATATTGTCCTCAACAAACCGGTTCATCATTTTACTGACATCAGAAGGATGGAAGGCCGAGTCAAGCTTCAACCTGTCAGGATCGAACTCCTGGCTGTGGGCAGAGTTAGAGTACTTTAAGATGTTATTCCAGAGGTGTCCAAACTTGGCAAATTAAAAACCTGTGGACTTCTACTCCCAGAATTCCTCAGCCAATCAACCAGACAAATCTTAAAGTTTGCAGGGCTGGGCACAACTGTGTTATCCCACACTGTTACAAGAATCAGTTCTCTCCACAACAATTCTGGTTCATTGTTTAAGAAGAACAACTTGTGTTCTGCAATGAATGGCAGCTTTTGCCGAGGACCCAGACTTTCACAATGCGAAAGAGTGCTTAGTAAATTGTATAATGAGAGATACAATATTTAGCAGCTTCGGATATTGCAAATGGATCCTTAGGAAGCTTAACTTACTTTAATAAGAGAACCTGTCACAGATGTTGCAGTACAAAGTGACAGGAAAGATAGGCTGTCAGTCTTGAGCAGTGAGCCCCAAATATGGCAATTGTCCAAGGGCAAAAGGAGCCACTAATGCAGAGCCACTCCGTATTGGCAGGGTTCAGTTTTAGACTGATGCTCCCCCCCCCGCAGACCTCAACTGCATTCCAGGCACTGGGAAAAGGCAAACCACAGCATTGCTTAAGTCATCACGGGCAGAGAGGCTCAGCTGAGTATCGTCAACATACTGATGATATCTCAGACCCTGGTGACGGATGACCTCCCCCAGCAGTTTCATGTAGGTGTTAAACAGCAGCAGAGAAAGAAGCAAAGGCCAGGGGTCAGATCTCTCTCCCCTGATCAGTATTGACTGAGAATGGCCTCAGAGGAAGAAATGCACCAGGACAACACAGTGCCCTCAGTCCCCGATCCAAGAAGCCATTCCAGAAGGATGTCATAACCGATGGAATAAAAAGCCACTGAGAGATCAAGTAGAGGGAGAATGGATGCACCACCCTCCCATCTCATTGCCATCGTGTTAGTGCCATTAGGACTTTCCCCCATCCTATCCTCTCCTGCTCGATTCCCAAGTGGCCTAAACAGATCCCTGTAATCTTCCACTACTGGAGATGCGTTTGTGTGAAAGAAGGAGAGAAAAAACCAGGCTTTGAGGGAAAGATGGGTGTGTTTGTTGAACTGGTTAGGTTGCACCCGACCCACTTTTTCTTCTCCAAGGTGAGAAGCAGGATCTGGGAAGGAGAAGGAGGAGGCTGTGGTTGGCTAACACATCTGGAAGAGACATGCCATCAATGGCTGCAGTGCCAGGAAAAATGGGTGTGCCCAAATTGACTTTGATTTGCATGTCTTGGCTAATTTGAATATCTAATTGCTAGATTGCCAGTGGAAGCATGAAAGGAGTGCAAGAATATTCTGGAGTAGGTGCAGCATTTTCCATGAGTGTCATGAAACTTAGCTTGGAGAAAACTTGGCAGAATTTGTAGGATGATACTCGGACAGATATGAAGCATCACTTTCCTATTTGCATGGGAGATATTCTCCATTAAGAATCTTAATAGGTTTTGCTCAAGTACACTTGAGGTGTTTGATTTATTAGGATAAGGACACACGGAAGCAGAAAGAAGGCAGGAAAAAAGAGTGATTTGCTAGTAACTGAAGTGAGGGGGAAAATTTAGGGACATTTATGAACAAGAAGATTAAGACGAAAATCTCATGCACAAATTGAAGTCCTCAAGAAAACAGATGTCAGGCCAATAAACTCAAAGTCAATGAATTAAGGAATGCAGCTGGAAGACTTCTACTTATTTGTGGACCATTTTATTTTAGGTAATATCATGTTCAGTTCATATGGAACTTGCAGTGCCCCATGCTTTAGTCCTTTATTTCATGTGTCAAGGAGAAACTTAATATTTTCCCTCAAATCACTCCTAAATATGGATAGAAAATAATAAGATATGCTCCTTGTGTGTCCTATAATAATCTAAATAAGGCGTTGGTATGCAGGTATACGTATAATTAAATAATTGCTTTCAGACCGAATGCTTTCATCATATTAATCCATCTAGACTAAGTTTCAATCCTATTTAAACCCTTCATGCAAATTAATGTTCAGATTTATTGTTTGTAACCGAACCATAGGAAAACCTTCTATGAAGGCTTTCTGTGAAAAATGAAAGATTGCTTCTGGACAATAAGAGCTAAACTGAATTATATCAAGCTGGTGGGGTAGGGGTGGGATTGTGACTCTTGACCCCTCCTGACCCCTCAAGGGACAAAAGTGACCTCCATGACAGTTTGAAATGCAGTACAGCAGACCCTGAGTTGGTTACTCAACTCTTGTGAGTTATTTGAGCAGAACAGTTGTGTTGTCATGCATGAGCTGAGGCAATGTCGGGGTGTTAACCCTGATTAGAAGGCATCAGTCATTGGACATAAGCAATACCTTATAGATGGGGAGTTTTGGACAGCCAGATGTAGTGATAAATGATTTCTTACAGTAGTCAGGAGAGTGATTTCACAACTCATCGATGGGCATGTCAGTTAACACCCTCTGATAGATATAAAATCTTATGTCCGTTCCAGTGATGATCAAACAGAAGGAATCTTCAGCCCAAGAAAGAACATCTCCACAGGTATTGTCACCTGATTTATTGGGTTAGGTTACCTGCTCCTAGGACCAACTATCCATAGGGCAGAGGCCCTTTCATTTTCTATCCAAGAGTCATTGATGTTTTGGTACTTTGGGACTAGATGATAGCAACTAGATTTCCTTTTAAGAAAATTACTTTGGAGAAGCCCTTGCATTTACTGGTTTAAC